CAAAATCCTTAACGGTCCTGTCTCATCTTCCGCAATCACCAAATCCACAAGGCACGCCAATTCTGCTTGTCATATGAGTCGAATAGTCACCATACACCTGGAACGATGTAATTCTTCTATTTATGACCGGTTCGAATCTGAAATCTGCCGTTCAAATGGATAATTATCTTCTTGTTCTCATGCATTAAAACCCATAACCCGGCGCAGAAATCAATGCCGTGAAATTTCGCGAGAATTGGTTGTTCTGCCTGTTTCGATGATCTGGTAATATTGCGCTATCCGCTCAACCACCATTGCAATTTAAACATTCTCTATGAATGAAGTGGTTGGAACTGGTAAATCCGATCCTCCTCCCGCGTGTGAAGTGGGTCCCGGTGAGAAGTTTTCCATGAGAGGGAGAGCCAGTCGGATCGGCCGAAGAGGGTTCCCAAGAGATACCGCAAGGGGAGTCTTGCGTAACATCGGCGTGGAATCTCATGGTCAGAGAGGTCATATTTAATCTCATCACAATTTCTTGATTGCTGCATTTGGTGATGCAGTACTGGTTCTGATACTTGATCAGATATCTGCTCTCACCCTTGCTGGGAATAGCGAGGGGGGGGGGTTGAATCTATAGAAAGCTTTTGATTCATCACCAGTCCACTGGCGCGGATGTGCCATCAACCCCGTTCATCGTCAAGTATGCCATCCAATTTTTCGCATGTGAAGACGAACAGTTCAATTTACAGATGCGCTTTCTTCTTCTGGTCCTGCTCATTTCGGGAGCATCAGACCGAAGACAACGCTATCCAAAGCAGTGGTCAGCGTTAGATGGATAGTCAAAGGATTCATGGAGGAATGAGGGAACGTGCGATTCCCCAATCTAGACTACTACCGTCAAGCCCGATTGTAACCAATAGGCGGCCTTAGGCAGTGTTCAGACTCCACGACGGCAGCGCTATGGTCTCGTGTTCGGCACGATCCATGCAGTCTAAAGCATGCGTACCCAGGACACATCGTTGTTGGGGATTCCCCACAGGGAACTGGGTTGTATTTCCCCTCTGAGCTTCTGAGAGAAGTTGCTGACCTTGCAGCGCTGCCTTCGCGAAGTCGGCACCTACCTTAATGCGTTTTACCTGCAAAGAAGGTATGCTAAGAGCACGCAAAAATAAGAGCGTCAGTTACAAGGTCATGCCGCACTTGTTCTTCTGAGGCATATGAACTTGGACTGGGTGAGGTTTCTGGCGTTCGCAACCGTCCAGCTCTTCCCTTACGACATTGCGGGTGGTGAAGGAAGAACACCCTCAAAGGGCTGTTGAACTGTTCTTTCCACTTGCACAGGAAGGATACGGAGAGGGTGGTCAGTGTTAGATGGAAAGGGTACGGGTAGTCCTTGGCGTGTTTTCCAGAACTGATTACTTTACCTGGTACTCAACATGTCCATTGCCATCGATGACCGCCGATGTCTGTCCAACGGGCTTTACGTTAGCGTTAGGTGGCTCCTTGTACGTCCTGAGGATTGTCGGCTTTCGACTACAGTTCTCACCAGTGATCATTAGTGCTAATGGCTTTCTAATCGCCTCATCTTGAAGTGGGTCACCTGGAACAATGAATATTCCCTCCTTGATACGGAAATCTGAAAATTAAACCGTTCAGGAACTCCCCTTGTTGGAAAAGTCTCCCTGTGTGAGCCATGATCTAACCAGTAGGCCCCTCTCAGGTGCATAGTTAGTGATCCCCATGTCCCCATTCAGTGACAATGGAAAAGAGAGCATCAACTCACGCCTGGCTTGTCGTTTCATTAGGAAAGGTGAACTGAGCCCACACGTTGGTAGGGGTTGTGGTGTAGACCTTCACGTTCAAAGTACAAGCTGATGCTGCCGAAATGAGCACGACCAGAAGAAGTAAGCGCATCTGTAACTGAATCGTTCGCCTTTACATGCGAAAAATTGGATGGCATACTTAATGATGAAACGCATTCCGTTATGCCCTCGACCCGCCAGCACATGGAGACTAGGCCATTTACAATTCTTGGACAGGGACACCATCGTCGTGGCGAACCATCGGGGGGGGGTAAGTTGTCCGCTGAGAGGTGGGGCCGTACTTAGATTCGCAGGTCGGTTAGAAATACCAAACAGCATAAACGTGTCATCGCTAATTTCGATGGAGCGAATGGAAAGCTGCAAAAGACCCGATGTAAGCAAGACTGCAAAATATTAAAACAATTGATTAGTAATATCAATAGTTGTCATCAACTCGTAAGTAAATAATGCATCTCAAATAGATTCGTGCGTATCGAACTTTCCAAACCATACACTAGCATCTGCTTGCATGGGCAAAAATCACCTGAAGTTAAAAGTTACACCCTTAAACCACCTCTGCTTATGCACAATGCACGGCGCATACCCGGACTCGATCTATGATAACCAGATTATGCTTTGACTCGGTACAACACAGTAGTATGAGTTTTGAAGACATAAGGCTGCGTTTATACTTTGCGGCAGCGTAGCGCAGCGTAGCGTAGCGCTTCCAGCGTACGCCAGCGGCAGTGCCGAAGAGAGGATGCATATCGATCTAGCTTCACCAGCGTCACCAGCGGCACGCTGGCGTACGCTAGCGTGCCGCTAGCGCTTCACCAGCGTTTCACCAGCGTTTTCTAGCGTTTGCAGGCGGCAGGGGAGTAGAGACTATGGAGAGCTGGAGGGTACAAAACACATCGATTGCGCGTCTCTCACTCGCCCTCAGTCTCTACTATACACTTCGATTGCGCGTCTCTGACGGCCCACTCCCCTGCCGCTGCAAACACCAGCACAAACGCTGGTGAAACGGCTGCGTGAAGGCTAGGATCGATATCCATCCTCTTCCTCCGGCACTGCCCGCTGAGCTTTACGCTGGAAGCGCCCTACGCTTACGCTGCCGCGCCCAAAGTATAAACGCAGCCTAATGAAGTTCGCGAATGAGTATCCTTGGAATGGCCCAAAGAGTGTAGAGCTTTGAGCGGCTCAGATTGCCGCCCAGGGGTGACCCATCTAAAACATCTCCTGATCTAGCGGGTTTTCAGGGAAAATGTTGTGCTTCTTGGAAAGAAGAGATATTGCGCGTTTTGAAAAAGCTATCACCCCTAGAAAAGGCTCCGCGTCCAAGGCCGCTTCCACCCATCCAACAGTTCAGCTCCACCGCTAATTTCTCATGGAGTCATAACGCGGCTGCAAGCGCCTGTGAATCGTTAAGTATCTGATTCTTCTCGTCAGAGCAACAATTGAAAGCCGGAAAGGGAAGGGTCGTACCAGAACCGTTTTACGGCGTACATCTTTGAGTGCGTCGAGCTTTTGCACCACTTAAATGGCATCACTCGTGGCTTCAACTTTTTACCTTGCTGGACGGGTTGCAGTTGACTGTATGTGCTCCTAATATAAAATGCAATAAAGGAGAGCAGAATTCGTATGGGCATGGGCGTAGTCAGCAAAAAGTCGATGCAGTTCCGATTAATGTCCGCTGTATAAATAAAGAACTGTTGAGCGGCCTTCCGTCAGAGGCATCTAGCAAGTGCGACTGAGCGGACCTGAGAACTAGAACTTTTGGCGGCTGTAGCACCTCCATTCTCGCTGTAGAGTCGCGAGAGTGGGACAGACTTTTAGTCTTGGGGCTGGATCACTTAAGCGCAGGGCTGTCTTTAACTATAGCCGCGGTAAAGCTGAAGAACGTAGCCTGCACAAAGCTCATCTGCGTGGCCGTCCAATGCCGAACTAAGCTTTTCCATCTACTAGGGAGCTTGTATCGACTAATCAAGCCGAAGAAGTCATAGAAGACTTTTTTCAGCATAAGGGTACAGCATAATGTTGACGTAAAACCACAAGGGGGGGGTCGTACTTGAAAGCCAGGGAGAAGGGGGGGAGGAAATGATCGTATCTCCGCCTTCGAGAAAAATTAGTAAGTCTCAGTTTCGTTTATTTGATCATCTATTTCCATGTTTTCCATGTATGTTTCCATGAGGTGCTATGTCGAGTCAACTGATTACGAGCGCTCAGGCGAGCGACATCGACATAGCACCTCATGGCAACATACATGGAAATAGATGATAAAATAAACGAGATATTACATAAGCTCCTTGATACAATGAATTTGACGCGTGACGGCATCGAGTCTACTAGCTAGTAAAACCTGCTGATTTAGATGGCACCCCTTAGATGAGTCGAAACATGCTTTTTATATTATTTTTGGATCCAATTTTTAATCGACAACTACCTAGTTTCTTGTAATCACGCGGCTTCAGCTTGGTTCAGGTCCAGTACTGAGCAATGTCTGTCAGCTAACTCTCAAGTAAAGCACTTATGAAGACAGAGAGTGGAAGAGATAGGGAGCAACAAGGGAAGCCAAGTTGTTGATCAGTTCGAGAAAAGCGCAGCTAGGCTGACTGAATGCCCAAAGTAAGTGTAGTAATAGGTAAAACAATATCCTTTATTAAAAAATTACAACACGACAGCGTTCAGTAACTCGTTACGTTAACCCAAATTCTAGATGATTTATCGCTCCCTGACTTATGTTGTGACAACCTAGAAGGCACTCGTCGGAAGGAAGAAGTGCATAAAAAAGTCGACCTACAGATAGTGTGGCTGCAAATGCCCCCCCCCCACCCACACACCAGATCCTTTTCGGAGGGAGAATATGCATCGACGGACCCTACGATTCCTTGCATAAGCCATATTCAAGATGTGCTAGAACATGTGAAGGAGGGAGAATTCATGAAGCATCCTTAGGAGGGTGACCAACTCTGAAATCTTTATAATGGTTATTTTTATTGGTGGGAAGGGGGACATTAGAATGAATGAAGGGGCATATAAATGAATCATTATGCAGAACAGAGATTACGTCATCCGAATAATTGCCATGCTGAAACCGGGCACCCGCTCCGGAGCTCTTTCTTCGTTCAGACCTAAGCAGAAGCGAAGCCTTACCGACATCACAGTGTTGAGTTTTGCACAACGAATCCTTTGGAATCCTCTAGCACCGGTGCCCCTTCCCGCCTTGATTTTTTACTCCCCACTATTCGTGTGTCAGAAGCATCGTATTCAATTTCCATACGGTAGCGTGGGAATGTTCGAATGTGTCGTACGTACATACGACTATCATTAAAGGCACGGTCCAGGCTAGGCTTAGCTACATCACGGTTTTGAAATTTGCGCGACGAATCTTTCGAATGTCATACAGTCCTCATCATTGCGGACTGTCGGTCCGCAATCAGCGGTTCCCACCTGCGGCCTTCCCACCAGTGGCTGATTCCTTCCTACATCGATCATTGCTCGATCACCATTGGTAGAGCAAGGCAGCCGGACGCGAGCTCGTGCCGCGCTGCGCTCGCCGCCCCCGATAAACTGCAATGTTACAGCTATAACTGTACAGGTGCTTTTTACCGCTCAGATATTTTACTTTTCGCCGTCCATTATTTCTTGGTCGGAAGCATCGCACTCAATTTCTCTCACGCGATCTGTGGTTGTTTGAATAGGTCACAAGGCATGACTCTCTTTATACCTTGGGATCATAATACCAGTAAATTTATTCAGTTATATTTCCACACGAGGTTTGAATGTGGTAATGAGATCGAACACCTGACGTGTCATCACCCGGGCACTTGATTAGGCGGCCAAGTTACGACGCGACTGCGGCGCGTCACGACCACGGCGATCAGCTGTTTCCAGCCTATTTTAGCCATTTTCTCCCTAATTTACACTGTTTTGGCTGCTTTTCTCATGATTAGTTGTTCCTTGTCTTCACAAGGTAAATTATGATTGAGATTCCTCTGTTTTTTTTGCGCACAATTAAACAGTTAGGCAGACAATTGAACAAACACCTGAAAAAAATCGCAAAAACACTCTATTACAGAAACAAAAAAAACTCCACGCCCTCATGTACTTCATAAAGACAATAAAACAACTAACCTTGAAAAAATAGAAAATACAATGAAAATTAGGGAGAAAATGGCCGAATCAAGCCGGAAACAGCTGACGCGCCACAGCCGCGTCGCGACTCTTGGCCGCCTAATCAAGTACCCGGAGACGACTGTATCTTATGGGAGAACTGTGAATGTAATGCATCTCAGCCACTACACAGAACCGCATAAATAGGGGTAAGGCATTCGGCATTGATCAGTTCTCCTTTGAAATGTGGAAATGCGGCGCGAATTGACAACTGTGCACTCCATAATGGTGGGAAGCTTAATTGGTCTGGAAGCTGGTCTACAAGATATTCATTGCAGCGTGCATGGTAGGCGCTGTTTTTTGCTGCTTATCAGCGCCACCTCTTCTTAAAATTATAGCACGTATAATTATGATCTCTGCAAAGATAGGATGTTTGATGGAGCAGGAATTAAGTCGCAGCCAGGACTGCTTTTCTTGCCAATCGTAGCAGACCCAAGACGGCATCGGCCCCTACGGACAACTTGAACTT